TCCCAGCAGCCACTACTTTCTTCTGCACACACAGCCATTCCAGTCCCCTCTCTCTTTTAGTCCAGCGCCCCCTACCAGCCTACATCTTGATCCAATCTGCCATGTAGTCTGGGTGGGAGCCATGCCAGCAGGCAGGTGAGCCCCTTTTTCTACAGGGACATTCCAAGGGCTGGTAATGTCCCCAGACATGACCTCTGCTCTCTGCACTGGGAGTGGGGAGGCCTGACCACACATTTGACTTACTCTGCCCTTTGGTGGAAAGGGAGGTGGGCTGTCTGGCTGGTGGGTTCATCCCTATGCCATGCTCCTCCCTGAAGCATTCGGCAATTCTGTTACTGATCTAGAGCTGTCTGTTAGCCAAGCCTGGGATTCCTGACATGTTCCACGCTGCCAACTCTCTTAATACCAACTACAGACTGGTAGAGCTATTGCCTAAGAAGCTCCTGAGAAGATGGCCCATCCTTGGAGGCACCTTTAGATGGATGCACACACAGTGAGGCACTAAGTTACCCGGGGAAGTAGGGGAAGAAGGGACAGAGAAAAGCAGAGATGGAGTGATTTCTCTGCTCAAACGTGGGTCTTCTCAAGAGACCCTAGGCTCCTCAAGGCTTGCAAACAGGGTTGTTAGCTGAGGAAGTGACCATCATACACTCTGGGGTCAGGGGTCCATGCTGAGCTTCCTCCACCTGGAGAACACATCAGGTCTCGCTCTGCCCATGACACTCGGCAAGTGCGGCTCCTGTTGGAGCCTCGGGTCCCTTCTATGTGGTGAGAGGTTGAGCAGGACCATCTCTGGGAACCACATCACTTGGGCCCTGGGCCCTAGCATGGAGGGGGCGCCTTTTTAGAATTTGTACATTTATAAATGGATTAGAGAATCTTTTAACTGTTGTGCGATGCTGTTGTGTCTCTCCAGAAATGCACTCTGGGTGCTAAGGGAGTTCCACACAAGAACCCCCAGCTGAGTAGTAGAGGCTTTAGTGCAAGTTCTGAGCTGCAGGCTGAGCAGCCTCAGCCTCACCTGCCCACCCTCCACCGTCCTCCACATCCCTACTGTGACTTGAACTGGCAACTCAGTCTCTGCTGTGCAAACCCTAAGCTCAGGAATGCCCCAGGCCCCCAGTTCCTTGTGAGTGCATGGGAGTGATCCAGGGCAAGGTCACCAGAGAGGGTCCTGATGCTCTGAGTTCTGTGGGGTGTGGGGTGGGAGAAGGGTCTGGGTGGCTGCCAGCAGGCCAGGGGGGCTGGGATTTCTGACTGTCCTGCCTGACCCTCTCTTTGCCCCTCCCTGCATCACGCAGGTACTCTGACCACACCCTTTGGACAGCGTCAGGCTGTGTGACTCCTTTGCAGAGGTTCCATGAGCAGCCTCTGATTCCCCACCTCCTCCCTGACTCTCAGTGCTCCCCTCCCCACCAGTGGAGCCATCTAGTCTAAATCTGCCCTCATCCCTGCCCTGTTCCCTTCAAAGAATCCCTGGGTCAATTCCTTAGCAGGGAGGATGATGGTCCCAACCCCTGGAAACATTTCCTCCCTAGACCTGCCTGACTTTACAGACACAGTGAGAGAAACATACCCAGGGCTGGGACCCACAGCGGGGGGCTGGGGACCTCAGCAGAATTCCTCTTTTCTCCATTCCCGGTACCCCCATATTCCATCTGTCACTCTGCCCAGTACAGCTCAGCAGCACAATGCCCTACACCCCACTCTCCTCCAAGGACCAGACCATGACCTGGTTCCTCTCTGTGAATCCCAGCCATGCCTCCCACAGCCCACCCTGAGCAGTGGCCTCCAGCAAAGGGGCTCCCAACCTCTCCTACAGCCCCTCTTGCTCGTGCCTTCTCTCCTGGACTACTTCTGAAACTTCCAGTTTCTCATACCTCTTGAGCACCCCAAGACTGTCTCTAGGACACTCTGGTGCTGGCCACTGAGCTGTGTCCTCCCGCTGCCCCTGATGCGTGCTGAGCCCAGGAGAGCTGCCCATGGAGGGGGCCGGCCTTGCAACTGGGCAGGAAAGTACTGAGGAGAGACCCAGGGATCCACCTGGAGCCCAGGGTGACAGTAGATGAGGGATGAGCAGCAGTCTTAGGGATTTGAGGTCCTCAATGCCAGCCTTGACCAGGGCATTCCCCTCAGGCACCCTCAGCCTGAGCAGAGGGGCCCAGATGCTGATGGAATCCCAACCAATGTTTAAGTGAATAGACCTGAAGGTCACTAGAGATGGACCTACTGAGAAAACAGAGCAGGGCCCCCAGACCTGGACCAGCCAGCCAGAGCCCAGAGCCCACATGTAAGCTGAGCTTCTGCCCCCAGGGTGACCCTGTCACCTGCCTCACTTTCTCTACTTTAGTGGATTGCTGTTGTTAAGTGCCTGTCCAGTCGGTTGTGACTCATAGCCACTCTGTACAGAGTTTCTGAGCAGTGGCTATGGGTCTGAATCCCTGATTTTGCCGCTCAAACCAACATTGAGGTAGAAGGCTTATTCTACAGTGCCAAACCGGGAGTTCTCAGTGGAGACTGAGACCCATTTTCTTTGCAGGGACTTAACACCTCCCCTCCCAGCTGATGACCTGAAAAGCCCCCAGGACCTCAAAGCTGCTGCCTCTGGACTTGTGCCCATAGCATCCCCCCCTCCCCCAACAGTGGGCCCCTAGGTGCACCGGTCCTGAGATCCCTGGCAGCTCTTTCCACTTTGCAGCCTGGCCACCCCCTGACCAGCCCTGGCCCCTCCTGGGGGCCTTACAGGCTCCACCAGTCAGCACTGTAAACTGTGGAGCCAACTCTTCCTGCCTCCCTTTCCGGTCGGAGTTCCTCTGGCCTCCCCAGCAACTCCCTGCAGCCCCTCTAGGACTTGCTATGTGGACTTGGGCAAGTCTGTTCCCTGTGAGACACTGTTCCCAGTTGTTAAGGAATCCTGGTGACACAGTGGGTTAAATATTGGGCTGCTAATCACAAGGTCAGCAGTTCAAACCTTGGAGAACAATAAAGCTGTCTGCTCCTATAAAGATTGGCAGTTTTAGAAACTCTATGGAGCAATTCTATTCTGACCAAGTTGCTATGAATCAGAATTGACTTGAGGCAACGGGTGGGTGGTTGTGGGTTCTCAGTTGTTGTTTCCAACTTTTTATTGTGAACCAAACGAAGGTTCACAGACAAGATCATCAGCTTTACATCCAACAAGTCATACACTTCGTTTCATCTCAATGATTACAATCCCCTCCATACAACAACAGCAATCCTACTTCCTCCCTGTGGCTCCCTATTTACATCTTAGATTTCACAAATGAACAAAGCAAAAAATATTTGATGCATTCATACCTCAGTTGTTGTTGGGAGCTGTGGAGCTGAGTCGACTTTGACTCTTGGCGACCCTATGCACAACTGAATGCAACACTGCCTAGTCATCCGCCATCCTCACAATTGTTATTATGTTTGAGCCCACTGTGTCCAGCTCTCATTGGAGGTCTTCCTTTTTTTTTTTTTTTGCTGACCCCTTTTTTTTCCATTTCTGGTGGTCTTCTCCAGGGACCGGTCCCACCTGATCACATGTCCAGGGTACATGACACAGCGAAGTTCAGGCAGCAGTAATTATACTTCTTCCCAGGATTAACTTGTCAAAAGCTTGGCACTGGCCTATTGTGCTCTGAGGGCATAGGCAGTGTTACTGTGATGGGTCAGGCATGGCGGTGCTGCCTGGTACAGGAGGCGGGGAGAGGCAGAGCTCCTGGGACTGGTAAGCAGAGCAAGGGTGGGGAGTGGACCAGCTGCCACAGGAGTGTGGAGGCAGCCGGGAGATTTCTGAGGGGTGTCCATCTGGCTGAGTGTCTTTATGTGTGTGCGTGTGCTGGGGAGCCAAGGTGACGGACTTCGGGGTTGTGAGCTCAGGCATGGTGGGTGGAAGGTTGAGTAACTGGGCAGTGCCCTGCCTGACAGGCCCAGACCTATGCTACCAGCTGGGCCAGCACAATTCTTGTTCTCTGTGTTTATCTCCCTGTTGTCTGCCCTCCAGGTCCAGTGAGGTTTCCCAGGGCTTGGACCTGCTCTGGTTGAAACACACCTGCTCCAGGTGTGGGCATCACAACAAGGGCGCCAGGGAAGAAGTGGGCAGGAGTGTATGAGTGTGGGATCAGCTCCTCTCAGGGACAAGTAGGGCTTTGGGGTTACAGAAGAATATTGGGGTGTCTTGCCCCGGCCTCAGGCTCTGGGCCCTTTGTGGCTAGATTATGTTGAGCCTCTCAAATTGTTAGGAAGCTTGAGAATCCCACCCAACCTGCTCTCTCTCTCTCTCAGAACCCCTGTTGGGCCCCACTTTCACGTAACCAGCAGGGCCAGGCATGCATGAGAGAAGACGGAGGTGGGTTCCCGCCTATGCCTGGTGAGGTACTTTTGCACCTCCTCAGACATTCCCCTCCTCTCTGCAGGCCTGAGAATGCAGGGTGGGGTGGGTGCTTTGACTAGGCCATCTCCCCACTCCTCTCAGAAAGTCACCCAGGATTGCTACACCTTCTGCATGGTCCTGCCCCTCTGGGGGAGGACAGTGACCCTCGGAGGAAGCTCCCAAACCTACTCTGTGGTCCGTCACCAGCCCAGGCTAGGTGTCAGTGTGCCTGAGTTTGAATGCCTGGGTCAGCTGGTCCAACGAGGTTTCCCTGTAACCACACCTGGCACTTGTGGTTTTAATTGCCTGGTTACAGTCATGCCATCTCTCTTAATGATGATGGGGATTGAGGATAAGACTGTGCCCACTCACCTTTTTACTGCATCCCCAGGGCCCCACTGGTCTGGACCCTCAGTGAGTGTGAATTGTGAAGAGAAGGGCGTTAACACCCCTGGCCTCCACAAACACCAGACTCGGAGTTGCACCATGCAGTTGCTTCGAATTTTATTTCAGAAAAACTGAAGGTAAACGTATCAAAAGAGCATACAGATTGCAGGGCGGGGACGAACAGTGAGAGTCACTGGGGGCTTAGGGGGCGGGGAGAGCAGCAAGAGTAAGACTTCTACTTGGCTCCTGGCTACTCGGACTTTCCAGCTTCTGGACACCCGAGCTGGGCGCGGGACTCGAAGGTGACCGGGATGGTGATCTCCGCCGACTGGGTGGCGGGCTTGGGCAGTGGAGCCTCCACAGTGAGCGTGCCCTCAGGGGACAGGGAGGAGGAGACCAGGGTGGGATCCACACCGGGGGGCAGCCTGGCCATGCAGAAAGAGAGCGCGAGGTTAAGAGTGTCACACAGTGGGCCCCACGCCCTCCCAGAGCCCCCAGTCGCCGTCCGGGACTCACGTGTATTTCCGGGTGAAGCACCGGGAGACGTAGCCATGCTCGTCTTGTCTCTCTTCGTGCTTGCCTGTGGATGGGGATGGGGCGGTCAGTGGCGCCTTGGGGAGGCGGGGGCGCCAGGACGATGCCTGGGGTTGGGGGCCCGTCTCTCCCTGCCATTCAGAGGCTCTCTGGAAATTCCTTCCGGCCTTCGGGACTGAGGGGGTGCGGCGCTCCCTCACTCCCCTGCGGGGGCCCGGCTAGGGGCGGGGTCAGCGGCCGCACCAGCCTCTCTGCACGCAGCCCTGGGCGGGGCGTGGGATGGGGTTGCGGGGGGTCAGCGCTGGAAGGGGTTTCTCGTCCCCAAAGAAAAGTTTTTGAGTCGAAGGAGCTATCCCGTAAGACAGCAGGCGAAACAGGCCGGTGGGGCGGCCAGGGCGGTGACCCATCTCCTGGACCTTGGCTGACTTTTACCTTGGAGTCCTGCAGGCCCGGAGCCCACCTTTCCACCCCACCCAGCCTAGTCCTTCCCCCAAGCGCTGGCGGAGGCCCGCGCTCGCCCCGCCACCTCGGTTCTTACCGGTGATCTCCACCACGCCGTCCTTGGTCTTGATGGTCAGTTCTTCGGGGGCGAAGTGGTTGACGTCCAGGGCCACCCGCCAGCGGTCAGCGGTGTGCCGGATCTCCGAGATGCCACTGCTGAGTGGCCGGCTGAGCGCGCGGCTGAAGGCTGGTGCAGCCAAGGCCACCGGAGCAGCGCCCTCGATCGGGGCCGCGGGCAGCGGCCGCACATAGCCCGGCCAGCTGCTTTGGCCGAACCACTGCGACCACTCCTCGGGCAGCCGGGGCATCCCGAAGGTCTGGTCGAAGAGGCGGTTGTGGGCCGGGTACCAATCGCGGAAAGGGTCCCAGCTGGAGCTCCGCAGGAGCGAGAAGGGCACGCGGCGCTCAGTCATGCTGGCTCGGTTCGACTGGGTGAGTCTGGCAGAAGTTGGGAGAAGTGTGGGGCTGCTGGGCCAGTTAGCGCTTTTATGGGTCGCCAAGCGGGTATTTTTAGCCTACGATGTTTCAGGTCTCTATTAATGGCAATGACAGGATAGGAGCTGTCCCTCCCCCTGCATTCCTCCAAAGGGGGCGGGGGCGAGGCCAGGCGAGGAATGCCCTGCCCACATCGGGAACCTTCTCTCTTTGAAAAAAACAAATGGCTGGCGCACCGATGCTGGCGCAGGGCCAGGTTGTGGACACTCGCAGGCCTCGGCAGTAAAGCGCTGGGCTGTGGCCTGTGGACAGTCCTGCTCTTTTGTTATGGGATTACTTGTCCCAGGCCATACAACCAGTAAGTGACAGGGCCAAATTTGAACCACACTGGTGGTGTCTGTGATATAATGCCTTAAGAAGCAATCAGGTGTAGTAGTTAGGAATCAGAGGCTTAGTGCCTCAGTTTCCCCATCTGGAAAGTGACGATGATGTAGATGATGTAGTCATAACGGCAATGACTCAGTGACTTAGAACATGTCAAGACTTTAGCCCAGGACCTGGCACGTAATCATGGTTAATAAAACCAACAACAACCAAGCCCAGTGCTGTGGTCTCCATAGGAACGCAAAGCGACCCCTAGGATTACAGCAGACGTCAGACTGCTCCTTGGGGTTTTCCAGACTGTATGTCTTTATGGGACAGCCATTTTCACCCAACGCTTATTATTAGCTATTTGGAATGGGGAGCCCTGGTGTGGTGTTGTAGGATTAAGCACTGGACTGCTAACTGCAAGGTCGCTGCTTTAAACTCACCAGTCACTCCTTGGAAATCCTTTACAGGGTGGCTGTGAGTCAGAAGCGACTCAACGGCACACAACTACAACAACTTGTAATGGAAAAAAAGAGGGAGAATGTGTACAGGGAGGCGGAGATGTGGGTTTGACATTCCCCCCTCCTCCCCAGAACCCGGTTCAGCTTGTCCAGCTCAGATTCCCCCAGCTCTAGTCTTGAGAGGGGGCTGGACAGAGGAAGCTTGCCAAGTTTCTTGTTGTATTTAATTGTCAAGACGCACTGGATACCTAAAATGAGGGGGTGATCCAGGCCCAGGCTTACAAGTTTTCAAGAGGGAATTTAGCTTAAGAGTGTGTGTGGGAAAGGTAGAGTCCCCACTGAATAGTTTTCATCTTGTTTGGAGGGGTCTGGTGAAAAGAGATGGGGATAGGATTCTTATGATTCAATAGCGAGTAATTGTTACCATGACTACAAAAAGTGGCGAGTAGTTAATCTTACATTCCAGGAACAGAGGACCCTCTGACCATCAAGGGAGAAGAGCATGAGCAGAATGTGGGACCCTATCCAGAGAAGCAGCGACACCAGGGATGGAGGCAGAGATGAGACTGAGCAGCTGAGGACTTTAGATTCATGGAAAGAGAGGGATTAAGTGCTGGCAGCCAGGAGACAGGCTTGCAGAACGTGCCCTCTGGTTGTTCAAATAATTATAAATTCCTGAGTGTTTTTGTGTACATCCCTCCACCCCAAAACAAACAAATAAAACAAAAAACAGAGGGAATGGAAGCAAATACTGTTGAATGATGATGCACAGAGGAGATTGTAATCATTGCAATGAAACGATGAGTGTGAAACTGATGTAATCTATCACTGAATTCACAAAAAAAACTTAAAAAAAAAAAAAAAGCACGGGACCGGGAACCTGATGTGCAGCAACTTTTAATTGAGTCTGGGATTTGTCATTGACTAACTGTGGATTTGGGCAAGGAGTCCTGGCATGGCGCTGCAGGATAAACACTGTGAGGTTGGTGCTTCAAACCCACCAGTCGCTCCTTGGAAACCCGATACAGAGTCGCTACAAGTATGAACCGACAAGACAGAACTCAACGACAACTACAACTCCTTTCTATAGCCTCAGTTTCTCCTTTTGCATATGATGATTGATCTCAAAGCCCCTTTTGTGTATGGTTCCCACAGCACAAAGAGAAAGTAGAGCTACAGGTGGCAGATGGAGTCCCTGGGTGGTGCCAACAGTTAAAGCGCTGGACAGCCAACCCAAAGGTTGGAGGTTTGTGTCTACCCAGATGAACCTCAGAAGAAAGGCCTGGCAACCTAATGGAACGCCGTTCTACTCTGACACACATGGAGTTGACTCATCATAACTGACTAGATAGTAAATACAGTTCATTCAATTTTGTTGGGTGCCTGAGGTTTCCCCTTGACCTCATCCCTCTACCTGACCACCTATGGGATCCATGCCCCCTTAATTTTCAATTCTGGGAAAGGATGTCGCCTCTAGGTTCCTGCCACGATCCTACCATTCCAACATTTCTCCTGTCTTCCTTCTCCCCTGATTTTCACTCCTTGGATGAAGAAATGGAGGTTTACAGAGACCAAGTGACTTGCCCACCATTCCTGATGAAATTCTAGTAGAACCAGACCTCTTGTCTCTTGTTGCCCAGGATGCTTACCCTTGTGGGATTCCAGCCTTGGAGTGCCCTAGCCCCTCTCTTTCCCAGGCCCACTCTGTTTGCTGCTCTTAAGCTGGGCTGAGACTCTCCTACTGCATAAGGAGCCTGTGCTGCGATCACTAAGGACTTGCCCTGCCTGGGCCCAGACTCCGGGGACACCTGAGGGCCCCGAAACCAGGACTCCATGATGCTCATATCTTCATGAGCTCATGTCCTCTCTAAGCCTCAGTTTCTTCTTCAGGAGAGAGCACATAGATGTTTCTCTTTCTGCCCCACCTGATGGAGAAGCAGCCAGGAAGGTTCCCTAAAGCCAGAAAGACGTCTGAGCTCCTGGGGTTTGGAGGGCCCAGGGTGGGAGGCAGGTGACACCCCTGCCCTCTGTCCCACTTCTCTTACTGGATCATGTCAGGAACCCAGTGGGTTTCAGCTGGGAACTAGTGGCCATCTCCCAAGGATCTCAGGCCTTAGCTCCTCGTCATTCACAGCCCCACCTAGCCCTCGCGCTATAAAGTCGAGATGAGGTCAGGAGCCATCTGCCCCTGCCTGTCCACCTGGGCCCAGACTGGAGCGTCAGGTGCTCCACCCTCGAGGGAACTGGCAGGTGTGGTCAGAATCCTTTCAAGTGCAGCCTTGCCAGGCCCAGCCACGCTCTGGGTGTGGGCTGCCTGCTGGCTGCCAGCTCTTTATACATACAACTCCCTTCATTGCTCCTTCATCTTGTGTGAAAGCAGGGCGTGATGGGGCTTCCTTCCCTCCGCCCCAGCTAGAGGAAGTGAGAATTCACATTCATCTTCAGTGGGTCAGTTTTTCAATCCTCTCTAGCTTCTAGTCAATCCCATGGTGGATTTGTTGTTGTTGATAAGTGCCGTCGAGTCGGTTCCGACCCATAGTGACCCTGAACAGGGTTTCCGAGGCTGTACCTCTTTACGGGAGCAGAACACCTCATCTTTCTCTCGCAGAACAGCTGGTAGTTTCAAACTGCTGACCTTGCGGTTCGCAGCCCGATTCATAACCACTATGCTAGGACTAACTAGGCTTGAGTCTGGGTTCTCATGATCTCTCTTAGCCCACATATTCCTATCTGCAAAATGGGGTGAAGAATGTGCCCACTTTCCAGGGTTGTGGTAAATTTCAAGTCTCTCAAATGCAGTCATAAGAGCAGATGTGAAGGGCCTCGTGCTATCAAGGAACCAAACACCTAACCCACCACCAGTGAGTCAACTCCGACCCATAACAGACCCTAAGGACAGAGTGGAACTGCTCCCTAGGGTTTCAGAGACTGTAAATCTTTACGGGAGCAAACAGCCTCATCTTTCTCCCATGGAAAGGCTGGTGGGTTTGAACTAGCAATCAAGCAGCCCAAAACTTAACCCACAGCGCCACCAGGGCTCTTTGTTATTAAAGATGACGTTGTTGTTGTTGTTAAGTGCCATGGAGTCTATTTCGACTCCTAAGAGACCCTGTATAGAGTTTCCAAGGAGTGGCTGCTGAGTTTGAACCGTAGACCTTGTGGCTCAAACCAACCTTGCGGTCTCGTGCTTTATCCCACAGCGCCACACCTGGACTCCTGTTAATAAGGAAAGAGGCCCTTTAATTTTGGATGTTGTGACTTTGACTAAGTTGTATGTCCGCAGCTTCAAAGAAGAGAAAATGAGGGTCAGAGTTAACCCAAGGTGACAAATCTGGTAAGGAGGGGAGGGATTGGAACTGAGGCCTCTTAATTCACCATCAGGTGAGATGTCCCAGGCTGTCCAAGGAGGACTGTCGGCTGTGGGCTCCTAAGGTGCAGCAGCACGTGTGCACCCAAGGGTGTCCTTGTGGGTCCAGGTTCTGACCAGGCACCCTTTCTTCGGAGGTTATACCCCACACTTGGCGCAGGGTTAGTAGAACAAATGTTGGCAGTCAGCCTCAACTTCCCCACCTGCCCAGTTGTTCTTTCACAATTGAGACTAGCATTCTGGGTCACTGAGCTGGCAAGAGGAGTTTTACCGGTGGTCAGGTGATCAGGCGATAAAGATGGTTTTCTAGAAACCATAGGGCCAGGCAATAACCCCACCCACCTCTATTGCCTCCTATCTGGTCTGGGAGTCTGAGACAATTCCCAAATTCTGGGGCACTCCAGAGCAACCCCCTTGCATAGGTCTAAGGCCATGGCTACATCAGTTAGACCTTGGCTGACGCGGACTGAGCCAGCCTCTCTCTCTCTGGCTCAGCCACAGCCTCAGAGAAAGCTTGAGTCTCCGGCTGGCTACCGAGCTCCCAGGAGAGGCTTGGCAGCTGAAGATTGCACCAGACACAGGCCTGCCAGGAACTGAAATTGTGGGGAGCCGTAATTAGAGTGCCTGGGGATGGCAGGCACCGGGTCTTTCTGGAAGCTTCTAGACACAGCTCCTCTGGGAATCTATTTCTTAGACTCATCTCTGACCTGCTCCACCCCCTAGGCCTCTGGCTCCTGACTTATCCAGGGATCATTCCTCCCAGCACTGCTGTAGTAGAGCG